TGATGGTGTCTGTTGGGGATGAGTAGAGCACATCAATGGATGAGTCAATACAGTCAATAATGTGTTTTGGGGTTGCAGGTTGAGAATATATATATGAGAGAAGCCTCAGGCAATGCTGAGATGATCATCAAAATCAATAAAAATCACAAAAATGCATATTTAACTGTTTTCAATGTTATATATAAAGTAGAACCTCTCTGTAAAGGACATGTAGTTGCGGAGCTAAAATGTCCTTTATGTAGAAGTGTACTCTTACTGGAGAGTTGCTAAATAGTAAAAATGGTAATTGTGAAAATGAAAACTTGTCCCTTGTAGAGAGGTGCTCTCTAGCGGGAGTGTCTCTCTCACAGAGGTTCTACTGTATTTATTTATAGATTTTTGTATGAATAACACTCATAAAACTAAGCAAACATCTACAGAAAATGCACACCAAAATAAAATGTTAAAGTCTCAATATTTTCACTCAAATCAAACATTTTTTGTACAAATTTTCTTTGATATCTTTATTTTTATATATTTCCATTATATTATCTCATCAAAACTATTCAAAAATAATTGAAAAAACTAACTGCACAGCATTCCATGTTGGCCCATTCTCCAAAAAAAAAATCTCTCTACAGAGTGTCAAGGATGGTACAGAATATATTATGTCATTCCTTATCCTTTCGAAGTACATGGGGTGAAAACTTATAACGGCTGGTGTTCCAATACTATTACCTATGGCTGTCGAAGTTCTCTCTGTTGACCAGTGACAATGTCGAAGTTGAGTGTCTAAATATGTGCAGCCCACTGGAGCTTTGCAGAAGCAGTCTTCAGGTTCAACAACAACATTCCCTACAGCGGCCTCCTCCACAGCATCACTCAGGATGTAAGTGGGGATCTAGCAAAGTTTTGATCTGGACCCTGACTTATGGCTGCAGGGGCTCTTCGCTGAGAACAAGGAGAAGCTGATCACAGGAGCCTTGAGCTCCTTACTGGACAATGAGGGAGACCAAGACAACATCTCTCTGGAGGTGCAGGAAGCCCAGTTTCAAGCTCTGCGTAGGCTTGTGGCCTCCAAGATTGGCTTTGCTGCCTTCACTGAAATTCCCAAGTAATTTTTAAACCATATCTCTTTTTATATTACAGTATGGCCTCACATTAGAGACCACAAAAAAAAGCATGACTACTTATGGTCTCTCCTGGAGATGGACTCTCATAATTTGATACCTATTTGACTTGGCTTTACAAAGTTTATTGTTCAGGGAGATGGTCACTCATCAGATGGTCCAATCATCTGAGGTGTTTTGCACTGTGTAAAAATAGGCCAAGTTTGATGGTAATAAATCTCTATAGGGCTTACAGAAATACCACTCACTATGTTTTTAAAAAAAAAAGAAAAAAACACTCCATTTGATTTCATTGTTCATGATCGATAGAAGTTAAATGAGCCTGCTTTTTTTTATTCAATAAAACTTTGAGCATTCTTCAATATATATATAGAGAGCTGGACAACACTCAGCTCCAATATTACCTCTGACACAAGGAACAGACACCATGTGCAGCTACTCTTAACTTGGGGTACAGATGCAACTCATCATGTGTTCTTAAACCAAAAGATCCCACAAGGTACTAGGAGCTGGGTTAGCTGAACCCAGACATTTTTAGTGAGCTTGTTACTGCTTCCTCTCCTTTTATTTTTTCAATAAGGCTTGGAACCACTAATGGCTAAGTTTTTCTTAGTTCATTTGGAGAAAATTAAAAAATAAGCCCTATCTGTTTCGCAAAGACATATCTCTAAATATTAGTTCAATATCTTAGGAGCATGGACAGCTAGCAATAGTCAGCAATATATAGTCTTGATTGACTTTCTAGTGACACTGACCATTGTGGCATTATAATTCCCATGTTCCTGGTTGGTCCTAGGTTCCGGGAGAAGCTGGGTTTGAAAGTTGTGAAGGCCTTGAGGAGGAACAGCGAGGGGGTTGCACATGCTGCCATTGACATGCTCTGTGCCCTGATGCAGGTAGGGATCCCCCGCAACAGTTGCAAGTAGAGCATTGACTGAAGTTCTGACCTGTGTTTGCAGCCCATGCACGATGAGTATGACCTGAGGCAGGAACAACTCAACAAAAGCTCTCTCCTCTCCAACAAAACATTCCTGGACGGACTTCTTGAACGCATGGTCTCCCATGTTGTAAGTTTCTCCCCAATATCACTTGTGTTATAATCTCTTGTCTTGGGCTGAATATCTCACCTGTAGCTTTTCATTCACATAAGATGGCAAAACCATATCCAAATAGATAAATTAGGCATGGCTTTTAGGTAACAGCATTAAGGTAATAAGACCAAATCCAAATAAATAAATAGTGTGTGACGTTTCGGTAACAGCGTTGTTACCATCTTCAGACAAAAGTACTGAAACTTTGTTTCACTGTTTATAATCTATAATCCAAATTGTGCCTTATCAGGTAACAGCATTGTTATTGAAACATCACTCATAATTTATTTATTTGATTGTGGTCCTGTTACCTTATTTTTCATATTCTATAATCCAAATTGTACTTTATCACATTTTTCTAAAAGTTTACTGGATCAAATTTGAAATGAGAAGTTTGTGACCTTAAAAATGAGTTTTTTTTTTTTAACACAGCATTTTTATGATCAAAATTAGTTATTTTAAGACTTTTTTTATCTCTCTCAGTTAAATTTATTTATTTATCTGAATTTGGATTTGTTACCTTATGTTAATATATTTGTTTTAACCCCTGAAATTAGTGTTTTCTTATGTGGCCTGAGGGCCACAACTCAATGATGAGTCAATCAATTAGAAAGCTTTCAGGAAGATGTGTTAGGTCACTGAGGAATCTCTAAAGGGTTGTGTCCACCTGTGTGTCCAGACCCAGGGCACCGGGGCCCTCTATGTCGCCAGCATGCTGGACTTCCTGACCTTCGCCCTGTGCACCCCGTACAGCGATACTACGGATGGCCAGCTCTTTGACACCTTGCTCAACCTCATTGCTGAGCACGGCCGATCCCTCTTCCAGCTCTTCCAGGTAACCTTCTCCTCTGTATTCTCTCTGTGGTTCACTTCCCATTGTAAGAGCAAAAATACAAGTTCCCAACATTTTTTTAAAAATGTATAAATTTAATTGTCATCTATCAATAAAAATTAGAAGAACTTCAAAAACTCAATAGAAATCAACAAACAGCTTTAGAAAGACAAAGAAGTGGCCATATAAAAACCTTAAAATTTCAAAATGGACAAAACACCTTCAATAACTGCTTGAAATGCAATAGTGCAGAAGTTTTTTCCGGAGCATATCATGTCATGCTCAGAACTGACAATAGAGGACCTATTTTCCAGGACTATAACTACCATCGCAAAATTGGAGAGGAGTGGATTTCAGGAATTGGTTTAACCATGGAGATAAGCACCATCACCACCAAAATTTGTAAAATAGTGTTTCTGGCAATGTATTTCTTTTTTACATAAATCTTAATTATCTCTACAGAACTTACTGCAATGATAAAAGTTATTGAATAAGAAGGCTTGGTTCATCAGTAATGAACCCTCTCAGCACTTTCGCCAATTTTTTTTTTAAATCATGTTTAATGCGCTCTTGCGGTGGCTGACAAAAATGCTATATCCTTATTATGTCATGAAAATTACCTTTTGTATCATAAAAATGTATTATTTTTGGGGGAAAAACTATATGGCTATTTTTAAAAAATAAAAAGAGCCTGATACAATTGAAACTTGGAAATTTTCTGATTCATAGTCAAATGTGTTAAATGTGTGCATCACATTGACAATTTGCAAAGATTTATGCTTCAAATGGGACAATAGAAATTCTAAGTAAGTTTTCAAGAAAAGGCCAAAAAGTATTTATGTAGACAAGAAGTTAGACAATGAGTAAAGAAGAAATCCTGGGAATGCATAGCAAGATCATGTACCATACTTTTAAAACATGTAAGGAGGAGTAAACCCAGGGGTCCAATGGGATTTTCCCCCTAAGGGCAGAGGTCCAAAGTGCCTTTCTCACATCCACTAGAACCTTCCATGAACAGCTGCCTGAAGAAAAAAGAGAACTGATAAGGAACATGACGATCAAGGAAGGTCTTCCTTCGCCATGTTTTTTATCGTCTAAATTCAATCCAGGAAGAATTCTTTATCTATATTTGATAAGGAACATATTCCTCAACATGTTCTCTAGTTGGGCATTCTGAATACGTCAAAGTTGGTGGTCATCAACTCTCCTAGATGAAAAATACAGTCAATAGATTTATACCGAGTTTTAGCCTTTAGTTTGATTGCTAATTTCAAAATTGATAAGTCACAATTTGAATTTTAGGTTAGAAACACAAGGTAATAAAACCAAATCCAAAAAAAATAATGTGACGTTTTGATAACAACACTGTTACTGAAACGTCACACACTATTCTTTTTTTTTTTTTTTTTTGGATTTGGTCTTATTACCTTATGTTTCTTATCAAAATTATTGATGAATTTGATGTTGGTGTTACCCAATTGTCATAGATAGAATATTTATTTGATCATGTTGCGAGTGTTGTAGCTATAGTCTCCCATGTGTGTGTGTTACTTGTATCATCTATTTTAGTTGTCCTAGAAAACGTGGTGTGTGCTAGCACCCCTCCATGGCCATTGTCAAGGGCGCTGGGCTAGTCATGAAGGCCATCATTGAGGTAAGACCTTGTGTACTACATTTGTTGCTGTTTGAATACTTCTCCAATAGTTCTAATCTCCAATAGTATATTTAAAACAAT